AAAGCACCCCCAAAATAAAAGGCCCCACAGTTCAGGAACCAGTTGACCTCCCTCCTTCCTTCCTGCTCCCTTCCCTCTTCCTCCTTCTCTTTCAGGAGACAGAGAATGTAAAACCTTAAAGTCCACCCTCCCCCAGGAAGGAACGCCCAGACACTGGGAAGGTGGACCAGAAGGAAGGACACCCACCCCACCCACCCCAACACAAATAAAAGCCAATGTGTACAGCACCCCCAAAGCAGTCAGGAAGGCTAAAACCCCAGGCCCACCCCCTAAGGTTTATTTCATCCCTCCAGGTCTGGAAGCCTCCACCTCCAGGCACCGAGAAACTGCCCCTCCCAGCCCTTGCTGCTTCACCGAGGCACCAAGTGCTGTCTCCCAGGACTCAAGGGGGTGAGAGTAGAGGAGAAGCCCACCCAAAGCCAATTTTGCCTCCAACAGCCCATCAAGGCTCAAGAGCTCACACTCCAGCCCAAAGAACCCAGGGCAGACTGCTCCTTCAGCTAGGGGAGAGTCTGGGACATGAAAAAATGATCCCCTCCTCTTCAGGGGTGGGGGAGCAAGCCCAGGGCCCTGCAGCTTCCTCTCCCCCTGCAGCACTCTCTGACCAGAACCCTGCTGCCTCCCCCAGCGCATTCCCACCCCAGCAGAGCCCCCTCCTACCCGTTGCCCAGTCTTCCTGCTCATCACCCCCCAGCCTTCCCCTCCGCAAGCTTCTGCTCCTCTCCCTCAGACCCCCACCTTGCCGGGTCTCCCCCAGCGCAGACCCCTCCCTGTCTGAGCACCGTGGCACCTTCCCCTCTGCTCCCCCCATAACCTCCTCTCCCCTTGGCTCCCCTCCCCCAGTAAAGCGAGTCCTCAGTGGTTCCCCCAGACCAAGCCTCTGGCCCCTGCTCCTTTCCTCTCCACTTCTCTCTCCTCTCCAGCCCCCTCTCCTTCTCCTCCCACGAAGCCCAGTTCCTCGCTGGTTTCTCCCCTGCAGACCCTTCACAGCACAACAGCTCACAGCCCCTCTGGCCCAGCACTGCTTCCAGCTCCTGGGGCTTGCAAAAACTGGGGACCCCTCTTCAGAGCCCCTCTTCACAGCCCTCTGGATGCCCCTCCTTCCCTCCCCATCCCTTCCCCCAACGACCCTCCCTCTAACCCCCCTCCATTCGCCCCAGCTCAGGGCCAATGCCCCCTTCCACAGGGAGCTTCCGATCGCCAAGCCCCCCCCCCCAGCAGCTTCGCCTCCTAGCTGTCACCCAGCCAGACCTCTCAGCTCGGCACCCCCGTCCCCCAATCCATCCTTCCTGCCTCCCCCGCCCCCTCCGATCGTTCCCCTCCCCCGATTAGCTCCCGCCCCCCGCCCGTCTCCGCCGCAGCCCCCCCTCCCGTACCTAGTTCTGGGGGCGCCAGGAGCAGGAGAGTAGGGATCAGAGCCCCGGGGACGCCCCGTCTCCGRCGGGTGGCAGAGCTGGGACCAGCGGGTTTGGCCGCCTCGCGCCTCTCTCGTTCCCAGCCGCGTCCCCGCCCGCCCCGCCGCGGTGCCGCTCTGAGGAGGATGCTCCGCGAGTCAGGGCGGCTGCTCCCGCCGCCGCATCCCTGCAACACCGACTGACGGCAGCATCAGCACCAGGGCCCGCCCCCCAGGCGCGCGCATTGGACCACGCTGCGCCAACGGACGAGGGGCGCAGCCAATGCGAAGGCGCAGAAGCCGCCAGTCCAGCGGCTCCACAGGCCCACCTCCCTCCCCCGCGCGGGACCCTGGCGTCCCGGCCCCAGGGCATCGGAGCTGTTCCCGGCCTCTCGAGGTCTTTAGTCCAGACGCCCGAGCCCCCAACCAAGCTGACTCCCAACCCAGCCTCAATGTCTTTTCTGGAAACCCAGGTGCCCTAGCTCCTCGTCCTTGGGTCGAGCCTTCAGGTCCTACGTCCTCCACACCTCAGCCGGCGGGTCCTGTGTGTCAGCGCCCAGGACTGGGACGAGCCGAAGGAGAGGCGGGGACCCGGACTTGGGGCACGGAGGGAACAGGACCGATGCGGGGCCTGAGCCGCAGCGCCCTCTGCTGGCTGCGCCCGGGGGCGGGCCACGGCTGAGAGGAGCCTAGGGAAGGGGACCCTGGCCGCTAGGGGCTTTTTCCAGCCCGGAGCCGCTCCCACTGCTGGGGGGGGAGGGCCTCCTAGCTGGGAGCCTCCAGAACCCAAGAGAGAAGATCCTTGGCGGGATAATGTGTAAGGCTGTGGGGAAGGGAAAGGCAGAGATGGGGGTGGGGTAAACCTAGGGGCTTGGGGTTTCCCAGCCCAGTCTCATGGGATTCCCAGGTCTGCCTAGGAGACAGGGCTGGGTTAGGAGTAAGTTTGGGGCTGGGATTGCGGCTACTCATGCGTGGTCACTGAGGGAAACTGGCAGCAGCCCCCTTCTCTGTTCTCCCCGCCAGCCCTGAGTTTCAGGTGTACTGGAGTGTGCGACGACAGCTCCATCACTTTGCATGCTGCGTTGAGGGTGGGGAGGGGACATCCTTTTCCTCACTCAGCCAAGAAAAGGTGGACCTAGCACCTAGTGTGTGTCCCACTAAGTAGGCTGGACACTGGCTTCTGAATGAGGCTGTGGTGTGTGTGTGTGTGTGTGTGTGTGTGTGTGTGTGTGTACGCTAGACCATTTTGCCAGCTCACTCCAGGACCCTGGTTCCTGTTGCAGGGTCTGTGATCTGCACAGCTGGTGGTAGTTGGCATCTCGTAGCCAGAGGCAGTGTACAAGAAGACACATTAAACCACTAATGCATGCATATGCACACCCAGCCAAACACGCTTATCTGTGCATACAGGCATTCCAAAGAGACACTGGGGACACCTGCAGAAACGCCCCATCATGGTAAGACATACTTACTCAAGAACACACACACCTGGGTACACTGGTGCCTTCACACTCAAAGGCAAATGCATGCTAAGRGGAACAGGTACCAACAGGCGCCCTGCCCACAGGGTCATCCTGCCCCTCTAAGTGCGTTATTAAGAGTGATTAATGACTGAGTAGATGAATGTGGACACTCCCACAGGGGGACTGTGAGAGGGTTAAAGGGGAACCCAGGTTGCAGGAGGTGTTTCCTAAGAGTTGGGAGGGAGACAGGTCCCGGACTTCAGGCCAGCTCTGACCTTGGAGAGACCCTCAAGCCATCCCCACCAAAGCCACTGGAGGAGCCAGAGAATGGGAACTGCTGAGTCAGGGCCTGTGGATGTGAAATCACCTCTCTGACCCCGCAGCCCACTGCCCCGCCCACCCCCACTGTGCCTCTTCCTGCAGCRGTCTCACACACGCCCACCCAGGCATCAGAGCAGAGAGGGACCACAGCTAGGTGCAGGGACAGCTCTCAGACCCTTCTAATGAGTCTGGGCAGGGAGGGAGGTCAAGGTGAGCACTTGTTTCCTGGCCACACAAGGCTTTGCCCATCAAGGGCAGAGAGGTCACCGGGTGGCTGCTGTGCCTCTCTGCCCTTCCCGCCACAGGGATGTCTCACAGAAAGGTCCTGGAGTCAGATCCCCAAGGCAGTTGGGACCCAGCACTTCAAGACACACACCCTAAACACGCAGGTGCCCTCCCACTGTGACTCGAGTATGTGAGAACACAAGCCCTTCTCCAGTGTGCACAGGTCAGTGGGGACACGGGGAGGGGACACACAGCAAATAGAGGGCATGTCCCTGCACACACACATACAGGCACACACCGCAAACGTGAAGCGCAGACATCCGATTCTGACACATGCAACCATGAAAAGACGGGCACACGTCACATCCCGGGCGGGGCAGACCTGAGCCCACAGACTCTCTCTCTCGCGCACACACACACACACACACACACACACACTAGGAAGAGGCCGGGCTGGGGCTGGGGGTGGGAAGGGGAGCGACCAGGCTGCAGGGACGGAGGCGGCGCGGAGGCTGGCGGGCGGTGCAGGAGCTAGCTGCTCTTCACAACACAATCGCCGTCTGTTGTTATAGCAACTCAGCCCCCAAATCGTGAAACGGATATTACAGCCTCAAGAGGGGGGAAGGGCGGAAGGGGGCTGAGGACAGAGGCAGGGGCAAAGCAGGGGACCCAATGAGGGATAGGGCTGAAGACGAGATGTGACAGGGAGAGAGAAGGGGGTGACCCAAAATAAGGAAAAGGCCAGGAAGAGTTAGAGAAATCAGAGAGGGACACCAAGTGGGGGATCCTTGGGGGTGCATTCACAGGGGAGCTGCTTCACAGGTAGGAGCTGGGAGTGTCTGTCTCCACCCTCAGGATAATTCCACAGTTGGAGGGTACCCCCCAATTTGGGTGGGCCTGGGGAGGTAGCTCCCATTCTCAGAGCTGCTGTCCAGCCCTTTCCACCCAGTCAGCCTTAAAAGTGGCCTTAGCCTTCTCCAGGTAGTTGTGACCCCCAAAACCTCCATGCTGCCAGCTCAGGAGGGAAGGAGGAGCTGGGGTGGGAGAGGCCTCCGGAGGCTGAGTGCAGGATCAATATGCATTTCCTCTGGAAGTCACTGTCCTTCCGGCTGGCAGCAGCACCAGGCCAGGAGGCGGCCTGACTGAGGAGCGCCCCCACCACCTGCCTGGAGGCACGCAAGCCCAGCAGGGGCCTGTGGCTGTGCATGCCCATCTGCCCACAGCAGCTAAACTGCCCTGGCCCTCCCAGGATTCCTGCAGTGAGCACCCTGTTGCTAGAAGTATTCAAGCAGGGGCTGAAAGGCCACCTGTCAAGCAATGTCATTCTGATTACAGGCCCAGGCCTCTGGTTATGTGTGACTACTGGGCCCAGCAGTTCTGGGGTGCAAAGACACACTAGTTTCAAGGTTTCAATCCCCAATATTCTGGACTTCTCAGATTCTAGACCCTCCCCAAGATTCTTGTATTCCAAGGTATTCTGGTTCTTAGGTCCTATTCCCCCAAATTCCAGCCACATGAAACCAGATCTCCCATGTCTCTCCGGCCACAAGACTGGCCCTGTAAGTACAGCCCCCCAGGATGCTAGGCTCGGATGGTCCAGGTTGATTACACGGGCCTTTTTATTCCATCTGGAAATACAAATATTCACAAGAGTCTGTACAACCTTAGGGACACTGTCCCCACCCTGCCCTCAGTACATGCCACCCTCACACCAAGCCCCAGAACCCCAGGCTCCCTGCTCTGGTCCAAATATTTTCTCGAGGCAGGAATGAGTCCTTGATACAGTCACAGCTGGAAAGAAAAAAAAAAAGTTATGAGGACACCCCCTTCCCCCGCAGCCAGGTGCAGGCCACCATTTAGATGGAGCACATTTCCCAGTGCCCCTTGCCCTGCTTTCTGCCCTCAGAGGGAGCTCAGGGCCACCCTGGGAGGACTCACCATCTTTACAGGTGGATGTCAAACACACCATCCTCCACTGCCTGCACCTCCTCCTCTCGGATCTCTGCAAGGAGGGAGGGTTTTCACAGAGCCCACTCCTGAGTCCCCATCCCTGGTGCAACCCTCCCTGTTTCATGGAAACACCCCCCTATCCGGAAAGCAGATCCATCCACCAAAAATCAATTCCCTAAATGACCAAACGACCCAATTTTCAAGGCACTTTTTCTAAGTTTTAGTTTTGCTGCAGCTTCCTCCACAGCCACAGATTTGTCTGAGCAATGAGCCTAAATGTCAATTTTGTGTAGTATTTCACATTTCAGACCCCAGCACTTCTGGAAGGCTCGATGCAAATGGTTTTATCTTTTCTATTTTTGAGGACAAATGCCCTGTGCCTGCCTCTGTTTTTGAGGACTTAGGCTAAAGCAAATGGCAATGGTCACCTGCCTTAGACCTCAGTTTAACATAGCTGTTCAAATGGTTCTCAGCAAAGTAATCATTTGGTAAACTGTCATTCATCCAACTGATCTAAAACCCTGGAGACCCGAAGAAAGCAGCCAGGAGGTTATCAGGACCAGGGACTTTTCTCTCAGTCAAAAAGCAGCTCAGGAGGCTGAGGCAGGAGGATTGCATGTTCAAAGCCAGCCTGGGCAACTTAGCAAGGCCTTAAGCAATTCAGTGAGACCTTGTCACTTAATAAAATACAAAATAGGGCTGGGCATGGGGCTCAGTGGTTGAGTGCCTGAGTTCAATCCTCAGTACCAAAAAAGGAAATGCAGGCAAATGGTTCATGTGATCCTTCCAATCCTTTGCCAATCCCTCTAACAAAATAAGAGGACAGAAGCCTCTTTCAGTTCATACTTTATAAATTAGGGTCCCTCTCCTGCCCAGCTTTGGAAGGTCAAGAGCTCCGTGGCTACCTTCTTGGCACCCTTACCAATGCTTCTTAATAATCCCACCAGCAATAAGAGAATGGCAAACTCTGGACTGAGTTCCTTCCAGGATAAATTAATAGGCTTAATAGGCTGCTACCACAGCCCGGCCTCCCTCCCTGTACAGGCCAGCCAGCTACGAGGCTCTTACCTGGGGGCCGGGAGCCGCGCCTTCCAGGGCGAGGCAGGGAGAAGCTGAAGGCCCGGTGGTGGGTGTGCGTCGGGGAGGGGGAGAGTGCAGAGCCCTCCAGGCTCACACTCTGGGCCCTGCGACGGCACTCCACTGACAGGCGGTCCTTGCACTGCTTGTGGCAGTTCACCCCACAGGCTGAGGGATGGAAGAACCCCACCACGGTCACTGGTGGGAAAACCCTCCATCCCATCCTGCAGCCCTGCACTTCTCCCCAGGTTYCTTCACTCTGGAGCAGCCGCCTCACCAAAATAAGAGTCCCTTCCAAGCTGTTCCTTTCATTCTAATTGCCAGCCTCTCCCCTCAAAAGTTCTTTGCTCCTAAGCAGCTGCCTCACCAAAATAGCCACTCTCTTAAAAGCCAACCCTTCACATCCATCAGCATACCCCGCTGCTTCCAAAGTGCGTCGCTTCGTGGCAACTGCTTCACCAAACTACAACTTCCTACCCAGAAACGAATTCTCCAAAACACCTCGGCCCAGCAGCCCCGCTATTCAGTCCATCTTACCTCGACATTTGAGGCCCTGCTTGTAGATGCCCAGGATCTGCAATAGAGGAGGAGACCGTGCTGGGAGTAGGGGCTTAGAGGTGAGGTCTCCCTCTGTCTTCCCGAGGGCAGGGACTGGAGCCTTAGAACCCGCCTCGGCCCGGGGGACAGAACAAGAGGAGAAGAGGCAGATGGGATTGACCAGGTTTGCCTGGGCCTGGACGGCTCTGGCAGGGGCGGGGCCGACAGGGAGGGCGGGGCTTGGGTGGAGTTGGGGAGCTGGGGGGCTCACCAGGGCCTTGCAGTGGCGGCAGGCGACAGGGCGCAACGAGTTGCTTTCCTGGAAGTTGTGTACGAAGCCCATGCGGCCTCCTAGCACCGAGCTGGAGCGCAGGAAGTAGGAGACCATCTCCTCCCGGCTAATGCAGCCATCCCTGGTGGGGAGGGGCGCCTGAGCTCCGGCCTCCTCCTCACYGTCCGCCACCGGCCTCGCCCACCCCACCCCCCTGGGGAACTCCCAGCCACCAGGTCCTCGCGGAACTCAAGTTTTGCACCTTTGGTACAGGGAAGAGAAAATCGGCTAGACCAGGAGCTAGACAGATGTAGTAGCTGCCACTAACTAGTCGTGTAGTCTCTGGCAAGTCACTGGTGAGGGTTTCCTCCTCCCTGACTGCACACTTCGCAGCTGGTGGGTCAACTGAGAGCGCTGAGCTCTTCCCCAAGGGATCTCAGCCTGTGGCTCCCAAAGTGTGCTCTGCGCAATGCCTCTCCCTTGCATTCTGGGGCCAGGTGAGATTGGGGGAAGCAATACCCRGCTCACTCTTTCTTGCATAATCCCACAGGAAAGACGCCTTTGCTCCAGGGCTTCCCTCCTATCCCAGGGTTTAGGGCAGAGCCCCCTTTCTTATTTATTTTAGGGGAGGAAGGAGCCTGTATTCTGGACGCAGACCTCAGTTCAAATTCCAGACTGCCTCCTGGCCATGTGACCTGTGCTGGTTAGTCTCCCTGTGCCTTGCTTCCACTATCTACGCAGGGACATACTTCCTATGCCTGGTAGGATTTTCCTGAGAATTAAATGAGATCATGCATAAAAGTGTCCATGTGCRTAGTAGGTCCTCAGCCACCAACAGTGATTTCCATCAGGGCTGGTCCTGGTTTTGGAACTGCCACCCACCATGTTGGGGGTTCCATAATGTGACCCAGGTGATCCTTCCAATCCATGGAGCATTGGGAACAACTGGCCATTTAGAAAAATATACAATTCATGTCAACCTCATACTGCAGGCGAAAATTACACTCTGACTGAATGAAGAACATTGATAAAAAATAAAAAGTATACATGTATCTGAAAAGATATAAGAGAATTGTGTTGTAATCCTTTCTACACATAACACAAATTCAAGGAGTCCTAAGGGAAAAGACTGACATATTGGACACACAAATTTTTTTTTAAATTTTATATGGAAAGAGACAACATAGAGGACACACAGGGAGAAAATATTCAACACATCCAACAGCAAAAGGTTAATATCCATTAACAGAGATTCTAAAAACCAATGAGAAAAAGACCAACAAACCAAGTAGGACACTGGTCAAAGAATATGAACAGGCAGTTAACAAAAGAAATATACGTGGCCCCAATCACATTAAAGAAATGCACATTTATCCAAGACACCGTTTGCCAATGAGACTGGCACGACTGTCAGGCTTATTACAGCGTCCATTCTTGGCAAGGAAGTTAGGACTCAGGCTGCRGATGGGGGTGCGGACTGGTACAACCTTGTGCGAGGTCAGCTTGGCAGGCTCTCTCCTAATTTAGAATGTGCATATCTTTTGATCCAATTATCCCCACTTCTAGGAATTTCTCCTACAGAAATACTGGCCTGAGTGCATGGGTACAAAGATGTTCACAGCAGTGTGGCGTATAATTATAGAAAGACACTGGAACGGTCTACATGGCCACCAGCAGGAGGATGGGTAGGAGAACGCCGGCCCAGCCACGCAGGGCAGCACTCTGCAGCTGCTCTAAAGCATGAGGTAGTTCTACATGAATCCACACAGAAAGAGGTCCATGATGGAGTGGGAACAAAGACCAAGGACAAAAATCGGGGGGGGGGGTACAATTCCTTCAAGAGGGTGATTGAAAAAAAAAAAGAAAGAGAAGCCCACTGCTACAGATACCTAGATGCTCTTAAAACTAGATCAAAAAGTTTAAACGCATACGTGATTTTGCAAGAACGACATGGAAACCCTCAGGTTCCAGAAACAAAGAGCTCCAGGAGGAAGCAGCGAGCTGGGCTAGTCCTGGGAGGGCGAGGCGGGTCTTTCTTTTCCTTTGGGTCCTGGGAATAGAACCCAAGGTCTTGTGCATGCTAAGCACACACCCTACCTCTGAGCTGCAACCACAGCTTCCAGGCTTTCCCTCTTTGTGAGCTGGCCGCTGGGGCTTGATACCCAGTGGGTGCTGGGCACTAGGCCCGGGAAGCAGGCACGAGGTAGAATTAAGGCTGAGCTGGGCCTGGAGCTGGGCCTCCAGGGTCTTAAAGGACCCCAGCCTCACTGCTGCTGCCTCAGCTCTGGAACAAGAAACAAAGCGACCACAACAAAGCCACTGGCAGGACTGGATTTATACTATAATCCCATTTGTCCATAAAACACACACCACACAAAGTCTTCATGTATTTCAACCTGWAGAAAGACTGGAAGGACACATATATTGCCCAACCATTAACATTGCTCACCTGTGGGGAGGAGGAGGGGACGTTCACTTCTTACTACCTGATTTTTTTTTTTTTAACCTCAGATTATTGTCATGTGGAAATCATGGAACGACAGACTGTCAGGCACAGTGACATATGCCTACACTCCCAGCAACTCCAGAGGCTGAAGTAGGAGGATCAYAAGTTGGAGGCMRGCCTCAGCAACTTAGCCAGGCCCTATTTCAAATCTCAAAATTAAATAATGAAAAAGGCTGAGTATAGAGCTCAGTGGTACAGCATGCTGGGTTCAATCCCGGGTACCAAACCAAAAAAAAAACAAAAACAAAAACAAAAGAACATAGTTTTGAAATACAGGTCACATTTAAAAATAAATGATGGACCTAGGATGGTCGGGATATTTTCTTCAGGGGTTTGCCTGCTCAGCAAAAATGGGGCATAGACATGGTTGCTGGGGGCATGTTTAACCTACTTCAGAGAACCAGATGTTTTTCCAAATTGTCAGCATATGAATTGTGGATAAGCAAGTGGGTGCTGCTAATTACAGGCCTTTCTTATCTATTCATTAAAACTGGCTACCCAGGAGCTCGACTTGCCTACACTTTTGCCAGCTGTAAGCTCCACAAATAAAATAGTATTTATGTAGCAATGGTCCCCAAGCCTCAGTCTTTGCAAGATTTGGGTGGAGCCCTCCTCTGTCTGAATTAGTGAGGTAAAGCTGACCTCCTGCCACCCACGAAAAATCGAGGAGCCCCTCCCAGCATGGGCAGCTTCCCGGCCAAGGTCCTCTGGTCCAGTGGCCTCACCCTACAGAGGAAACTGAAGCCTTAGGGGAAGGGAGCCGGGCTGCCTGCCCCCCCAGCCCCCAGTCCTCCTCACTGGTTCTGGTCCAGGTCCCCAAAGGCGCTGAGATAAGGGAAGTTGCCGCGGATGATCTGGAACTCTTCTTGTGAGATGTGGCCGTCCCCATCGACATCAAAGTTCCGGAACACAGACTGGGGGTACAGAGAGGGACATGAGGGGCAGAAGAGGGGAGAATAAAAGGAATATCAGGGCCCATCTCTTCCCACAGACCTGTATTATGAAGGGCACCTCYCTTGTCCACACGCCCACCCCGTCTGCACCTCAGCTCCGTGCACTAGCCTGCTCTGCCTTGTGCCTCCTGGGGACAGAGCACTGGCCCTTGGACATGCACTGGTGGTGGCTCCCAGGGCAGCTCTAGCAAAACTGCCCTTTACTAGCTGCAGCGTCCAAGCAGACTTGTTTCTCACGCGGCTCGGGCTCCRGGAGTCTCACCTCCACCATCTTCTCTATGTGCTCCACCACAAGGGCCTGGTCCAGCTTGGGCTTGGCGGCCGAAGTCCACTCCTCTAGCACTGGGGGCCGGGGAGGTGGGGTGCAGCTGGTAGGGCTAGTTGGCTGTGGGAATGGACAGGACCATACTAGGGCCGAAGGTGGAAGAGCCAAGGCCCAGGGGAACAGAGGGATCCTTAGAGGAGAGGGGAACCTGCCCAAGGCCTGCCCAGAACTCCTCTGTCCRGCAAGCAAGTTGGTAGAGTAGTTTCAAAGAGCTCCTCCTGCTAGGTGCAGTGGAGCACACCTGTAATCCCAGAGGCTGGGGAGGCTGAGGCAGGAGAATCACAAATTCAAAGCCAGCCTCAGCAACTTAGCAAGTCCCTAAGCAAGTGAGTGAGACCCTGTCTCAAAATCAAAAATAAAAAGGACTGGGGATGTGGCTCAGTGGTTAAGCATCCCTGGGTTCAATCCCTGGTATGGAAGAAGGAGAAGGAGAAGGAGAAGGAGAAGAAGACGGCGGCTTCTTGTCCTCACACCCTGGGATTCTCAGTGGGACAGACAGAGTGGGGAAGCAGGCAGCCCCTCCCTCACCGAGGACTTGGAGCGTGGTTCCCGCTGCAGAGACAGCTGGTACAGCTCATCCTCCGTCTGATACTGATCCAGAGATACCTAGGGTACACAGGTCTGGTCAAACRCTCTGGTCTCTGCTACTCTCAGGAGCTCCAGTCTAGGGTCACAGGGCCACCTAGAGGCTATCATCAGCTCAGATCCCAGTTAGACTCAGGACAAAGCATGGCCTAGAATACACCCCAGCAACCCCCACGCCAGCCTACACAGAGATCAGAACACAGCCTGGCCCTGAACCGGGTACTCAATGCACTGCTAAGACTCTAGTCAAGAGGCCAATTCAGAACAGCCTGACTGACATTCATCCAGAATCCAGCTCAGGTTTCAACCCTGATGCCCATCCAGTCTAGAAGCAACTAAGAATTCACTCCAAACCTTCACACTTAAGCCTAGGTCCAGTATCCAGAACTAGCCAGCTCTAGCCCAGAACCTGATTCCCATTCTAGATCTCCTGACCCAGTACAATGTCAAGTTCAGAATGTCACTCAGAGGACAGGAATAACTATATTAGAAACTACCTCTGCTGGCAGAATCCAGAGCTTGACCCCAGACTTTGAACACCTCCAGAAATTGGACCCAGGACACACGCCCAGCCTCAAGCCAGCCCACAGTCCTCCTGCCTGCCTCAATACCAGACCTCAGGTCCCAGCCCTGACCATAGTCTGCAACCCATCTCAGCTCAGTTCAGGCTCCAGAGCCCAGGAGGATCTCCGTTCCTTGAGCAGAACCCATAACCCAAGGCCAAGCCCACAGCCAGGACCAGGGACAGCTGTCAGGCCCAAGAGCCGTCCCTCACCGTGAGCAAGCTCAGCAGGTCAGGGTTGGCCTGCACRGGAGGCCGCAGGCTGGTCACCATGGCCAGCTCCTCCAGGATGCTGAAAAGCTGTTTCATCTTGGCCCCATTGAGCCGGGTCCGAGCAGAGTCCAGCCAGTCAGGCAGTGCCAGCTGCAGGGCCACCAGGTCCTTGAGGTGGACGCCCAGGATGGGGAAGCGGAAGCCCACGCAGGCTGCCAGCCGGCGCCGGTAGTTACCGTAGTTGCCTGTAGCTGTCACTAGTTCCGTCAGACCTTCCCAGAGCTGGGGAACAAAGGGCAAAAGATCACACCCCCCCACACACTGGACCATCCTCCCCACATCACCCTGGAGATGTGGAAAAAGATGAGTCAAGGACACCGGATGGAGAAAAGGTTAAATTCCCCTTATCATCCCCCTTCACCTGCTCGCGAGTTCAAAGCAACATCTGCTGCCGAGTACCACACCTGCACACCAATACTGGGCACAGGATGCCACCAACATTTAACGGAAAAAGAAACTGAGGCTCAGGGAGGTGAGGTGGCACAGGCCAACGAACTGGGAGGATGCTGCCAGCTCTACAGTCGGTAACAGGAAGAACTGGCACACTCCCAGATGTCCCATGACAGAACAGATGCATAAATTGGGGTGGACTTACAATAGCAAATGGTCTGAAAACAAAAATGAATGAATGACTGCTCCATATGACAGGATGAAAAGACTCTCCCCCCCCCCAGTGGAAAGACAGGGCAAGACAAAAAATAACACAGGACATGATTTTGCTCATAGGAGATTGTAAAAGGGGCACCCCAAATCCCCATTAGATGTAAAGCTACAAAGAAAAGTGAAGTCACTGTCACAAAAGTCATAACGTTGGCTGCCTCTGGTGGCGAGGGAATAAGGTGCTAGGGTCTCTGCCCCTAAGCTGCACCCCTGGCAAGGCTCTCTCTACCTTGGCCTGGATGCTGGTTACCCAGGTGTCTTCTTTATAATTTTTCTTTAAACTGTTCGCACGTTCTACGAGCTTTCCTGTGTCTATATTACCCACTATGTTTAAAAGAAGAAAGAACAAGCTTTGGGGTCAGGCTGACCTGTGGGTCCCCCCCCCCATCACCAGCATTATGCAACCCCTCCAAGACTCAGTTTCCCCAACTGTCAAATGAGGATGGTGGCACTCAGCCCCCACCAYTGGGGAGCATAGCACAGGCCCTCCCCCATCCCAGGCACCTTGATGGTTTCAGGGCCAACGTGATTGTGGGTCTCCTTGAGGCGGGAGATGGAACTGTGGCTCAGGCCCCCAACCACTGCCATCAGAGTGTTGAAGTTCTGCAGCTGGAGCAGCTTCTGAGAGGGCAATGGAGAGGGGAGGCAATGAGTCAGGAGTTGAGGCAGCCTTGGTGGGGAGGAGGCGGTGGCTGCGGATGAAGGATGGACTTGGCCTGCCTAGCCGCAGGGAGGCGGGGGCGATGGGGGAGAGGCGGGCACCTCAGCCACGTGGACGAAATGTGTGATGACCAGCGCCCGCTGAGGAGCTGTGGGCTTGCTGAGGACCATAAGCTGCACCCACTGCGAGACACTGTTGAAGAGGGAGATGAATCGCTCTAGGACGGGGTTGTCCACGGTGCAGCCATGAGTCACGAAACTGTGGTAGTCCTGGAACTGGGGGCAGGTGGAGCAGCCTCAGCACCTGGCYGGCCCCTCTCCCTGCAGATGACCACGCCTCGCCCTCCTCTGATGAATCCCCCTGGCCTTCCCTGTGACCCATCCTGCCCCAGAGACCCTGTCCCTCCTGGAGCCCCCTTCCCAGCCCACACTTGACCCCAACCACAAGCCCTGGGGCCACACCAGGATCTTGCAGAAGGAGCGATACTCCAAGTAGGTGAGGTGCTCCGCCAGCTCCAGGGGCTCCAGGTGGTCGAACAACAGGGACATCTTGCGCTTTTTCTGTCCCACGGGGTTCCGCTGGGTCACCTGGCGCTTCCACTTGTAGGTGGGGCTGAGGGGGCAGGGGAAGTGAGCCCTGTGCTGGGGACACCCCCTCTCCTGTGGCCCCACATTCACGCAGACACGCCACTCGGGCTGACTGGGGAGCCACTGTGCTAGGCACGAACGGCCCTCGTCCCGCCAGGCCTTCCACATCTCCGCCTGTCACACACTCGACACACATTTATGGACAACGTACTCTGTGCCAGGCACTGCACTAGGCGCTGGGATACAGAGGTGAGCAAGACACGGTTCCTGCCCTCGAGGAGCTCACAGTCCACTGAGGGAGACAGACACAGAAACACACGATCACCGGACAGCGTGACACATGTACCGAGGCTTTTGCACAGGAGTCTGTCCAGAGTGCCATGGGAAACAGGAGGGAGCAACAAGCTCTGCCCTGGAAGAGCCCAAGCCCTCAGAGCCTGCAGACTTCACACCTGAGCCAAGTCTTGGTGGCACGGAGAAGGAGACAAGGGCAATGACAGGAGCGGAGCACCATGGTGGGGAAGGATGCAGGCGATGAACCCGGTGTAGCCAAGGTATGAGGCGCGTGGGATGGGCAGTGGGCCGTGGGAGATAAGGCAGGAACACCAAGTTGGCTGGAGGCCGTGAAAGGCCTCCGTGGCCAGACAGGCATTTCAAAGGCGACAGGGAGCCATGGAAGGTCTTTAAGCAAGAGAGTGACATGACCCTCACTCATTCAATTCAACAGACATTTATTATTAAGTGCAGATGGTGTAGGATGTTGAGTCCCCCCCTGAGGTCCCCCCACGCACACGCTCTCGATGTCGATGAGGCTGCTGTGCCGCCTGTTTCCTTCTTGGTCTAGCAGAGCCTTCAGCTCCTTGATCTGCTCAGCCAACTCTGGGTTCAAGTCAAACTCTGCTGGGAATGCTGAGATCCAGTACCTGGTTAGAGGGGCGGAGTCACACAAGGCCGTGCTTCCCAAGCTCTCCGTCCCCAGGTGGGCAGCACCACTGGAACTGGAGTCTTCCAATGAGAGGGACAGAGGGGTTCCCCCTCTCCCAGCTCTTTCCTTCCCCAAGGTTACAGAGCCTCTTGAGACATCCACCCGCACTGAGCAAAAAGGAAGAGAAAGACCTGGTGGAGGAAGCGGGCAGCCTGTAGCAGCAGAGCCCACCTGGACAGAGCCAGGAATTAAAACCCACATGAGCCAAGGGCACGAGGTCCCCTCCTCTGGCCCGTCTGAAGACAGAGAGAAAGGAGCCAGAGAAGGGACCAGGACCTGGAGGAAGACTCACCTGACCAGATGGCAAGTTTTCACCTGCAGTGAATTGGAGTTGTCCTTCCGGGATTGTTGGTAGGTAAAGGGGAGTTAAGGAAAACAATAAGGAGCCTGACTTTAAGAAGGGAGGCAGGGGCGGTCTGAACACTCATGGAGCTAGGGGCGGGGCCTGGGCTCGCAGCGGGGGATGGGACGCCCCCTCTGGAAAGCGGCTGAGGGCAGAGCCTGGGTTCTGGGAAGATGCTCAGGGTGGGGCATGAGCTCTGGTCGGGGCACAGGTCAGGGTGGAGGGGCAGTTTATTCGAGAGGCTGAGAGTGGGGTCTGGGCCCTGAGAGGCAAGAGGCCACCCAGTTGAGGATCAGAAGAAGCCAATCTTAGACTCTGAGAAGGTGAGGGCAAGACCTAGGCCAGCAAGAGTTATGATGGGAGGAAAGCTGCAGAACCTAGACCCTAGAGGGAGAAAGGGCCAAGCCTGGATCCTGGCATATAGGAGGAGCCTGCACTCTAGGGCTGAGGCTCATTCTCCATCTAAGCTGCGCAGTGGAGTTCGCTCAGAGACTCCAAAATTAGGGGCCGGGGCGAGGCCCGCGAAGGATATATGTGGAGCAGTTTTGCAGCCAGCTGAGAGGAGGGGATGTACCAGGGGTGCATCATGAGGAACATGCGTACCAGCTGCGGGTCCCGCACCTTCCCGGAGTCATCTAACTCGGAAGGGTCAAAGAGAAGCGGGTTGACCCTTGGTCCTCAAGCTCTGATCCTGAAGCCCTAGCCTGCAGCCCTCAGGTATCAGGACTCTTGGGCTGCACTCTTGACCCAGCCAACCTCCTGCTTTCCCAGGACTCCGAAACCAAGAGGCAAATTAAAAAGAAAAGGTGGGGTAAAGAAGGGTAAGAAAGTGCCCAAGGAGCCGGAGGGAGCGTCCAAGCCGGCCCGGCCCATCGGTCCATCGTCCGGAGGGGAACCAGCTGGGGCGGAAAGAGCCTGGGTTCCCCGGGGGTCAAGAATCCAGAGGTCATTTCCTGAGCGCAGGGGGAAGGGGCACCCCTTCACCCGCTCAGCCCCCCCACCCCGCATCTGCCGGAAACAGCTTCCAGGCCAGAGATAGCAAGTTCCTCCGGATCCCGCSGAGAGAGAGATAATGTCCCCGCGTATATCAAAGTCTGGGACCCTGGCCCTCCCTTCGCCCCCTTCGCTGCTGGCTCAGGAAGACTGAAGAAGGGAAACATTCATCTGGTTGAAGCGTGGGCACCTCTCTGCCCTGTGATAAAGACAGGCTTCCATTAAGGAGGCTGCTGGATGGGAAGGGTGGGTGGGTCCCAGCCAAGGGTCTGCCCTGGAAAGTAGGGGCGCGGGCTTAGGCTCGGGACTGTGCCTTCCCTGCCACTCACCAAAGGCTTCGATGCAGCCGCGGAGCAGCTCCTCCACTGTGCAGCCCTTGTCGAGGTCCAGGGTGCCCGCCATSGCTGCCGGGGCCGGTGGGCTGGGCCCAGGCTACGCTCCGGAAGCTTCCCCAAGGGGCTCAGACCGATCTGTCCCAGGAGAAAGGCAAAGCGGGAGTCTGCGGAGGCGCGAACCAGGGGAGCGGCCCGGGGGCAGGACGGGGCGGGGCGGGCACGCCCCCTGCTGGCAGGGGCGGAGCAGTCTTCCGCGGCCACCCCCGGGGTAAACGGTCAGGGCCCAGGATGGTGCAACCCTCTAGTTGGGAAATGGACCCGCAGAGAGGCTTCCGGCCCATCCTCCGAGTCGCGGGAGGGTCTAAGGGCTCCACGGGGATGAGGACCATCCCGGACTCCTGGGGTTGGTTGGTTGGTGTCCCAGCCCCCTTCAGGCCCTCTTGTCGCGCCTGCTCCCCAGAAGCACCTGCAGCACCCCGCAGCTCGGCTGTGCGCCCCTCCCGCTTCCCTCCCTCCACAGCTTCCCTTCCCCCGCAGGGTTATTTTGGGAACCCAGAGCCTGAGGGGACCTCGGAGGAATTTCTCCCTGGGATGGGAGGGTGAGGAGAGAACCCAGGCGTCCTGCCCGCGTCGCCCCCTCCTAGGCGCCCGGCGAGGGGAGGCGGGGCTGAGGCGTCCCCCAGGGGCCTGCCCTTGGGGAGGCGGGCTGTAGTGCCGAGGAACATTCCTGTGGGGGGGCGGCTCCAGCCCGGAGGCGTCAGCGGGAAGCCTAAGCCTGGGAACCGCGCGCTCCCTAGTCAACTCCACGAAGGCCCCAGGGGTCCCGGCTCAGCCCTTCCTCAGGGCCTTCTTCCTCCCCAGCCCTGGGTCCTCATTCTGCACTGGCGAATCGTGAGCGCACACAGTAGGGTGCCCAGAAGGGGGCGCTAGCGCTGTGGGGGTGGCCATTGCGGGCCTGACACCAACAGCAACTTGGCCATTGACGGGGGCTAGACGCACCCATGCAGGGACAGACACTCATTCCATGCCCAAGTTATATTCTGGAGGYCAGGGACCTACATTAGGTGCAAGCCCCATCTCCCACACACCAGGGCCACAAAGCACCTGCCTCCTACCCTCGGTCTCACACACAATGGCACCCACGCCCTGCGCACACCTACACTGAGAACCCCTAGGCACACACACATTCCCAGCTCATCCACCCTAGAACTCAAATCCGAGGACGAGGTCGCCTCCCAGACCTGCTGTTCACTTGAGCCAAACCAACCTCTAGTTTCTGGTCACAGTGGCGCTGACATCCCCACACGTGTGCACACACGCAAAACAGTATGTCTCCACGCATGTACTCTCCCACACACAGGCACACACCCCCGTGGGCGCGCACACGCCCATTCTGCCGCCCCTCCCCCTTCATCTGCGTCCAGGGCCAGCCCCGCAGCCCCAGCGCCCTGACTCCCCTGACCCTGGCAGAGCCTTGCCCCAAAGAAAGGTACCCCGCCCCTTCACGTACTCCCCCATTCTGGGGTAGGGGGCTCCTCTACGGAGTTATTGAGCTGACTTTTCCTTGCAGTCACCAGAGCTGTCTCCCCCTGGCTCTGCTGCTTCCATGCTGTGTGACCTTGAGAATCACTTGGCCTCTCAGCCTCAATTTTCCAATCTGTTAAATGGGGACTAGTAGGGAAAGGTCAGACTGAGAGATGTAGCAGGGAAGAACTGGGTGCACTGTAGAAGACCCCCCTCCCGCAGGTAGTCCAGAGCGATGCAGCTCTCCTACCCCGGACAGGGACCGCAGACTCCCCACCCATCCGCCACCCCAACCTGGCCGCGCCGCCCTAAGGGACCTAGTGGCCGCGCCCTCCTCCGCTCAGCGCCCCGCCCGCGCTCGCTCACTCACTGTTGGGACCCGCCGCACCCGGTCCGTCCGGCCACCTCGGTGCGCTCCCGCCCGCCGACCTCGCTGCGGCTGCGGCTCCAACCCGCTCTCCGCGCCGCGGCCCAGCTCCCTGCCGCCCCGCCCCCGCGCCGCAGCCGCCCCCTCCCCTCCCCTCCCTGCCCCTCCCGCCCCTGCGCCGGGCTCCGCACCGCCGGCTGCGCCTTCTCCACCGGGGCTCCCCCTCGCCCCGCACGCGGCGGTCCCTGCGGCAGCTTAACCCCTCCCCTGCCACGCCGCCCCGGACGCCGGCGCCGCAGGCTGGGGGCTGAGCCCCCAGACGCGCCAAGGGTTGGCAAACGGAGGGATGAGGGGGCGGGGGACTAATCTAAAAGCCCCCTCCCCCACCCCGGACGCCCCGCTGTCCTCCGCCCCGCCTGGGTGTCGGACGGAGGAAACCGGGAGGGGCAGGAAGCGGACTGCGGTGGGGAAGGGGCGCCCCGCCCAGCCCCCCGGCCGGGTTCCTGTTTTCGATACCACCGTTCCCACGGGGCTAACCCGGTGCCGGGCCGCGCGTCTTCCTGCGGGCAGCGGAGGCGCTAGCCCGATGGAGGTCGGGGGGTTTGGGGGCAGAGGATCCCTGTGACAGTCTGGAGATGGGGCTAGGACGAGGTGGGAACACTGGGGGGAGAAGGTCCTGTGTGGGGCGAGGGATGACAATCCAGCTACCTGGAGATGCGGCCTGGATGTCTGGGGACGGGGCGAAGGGGTTCTCCAGTTCACTCGGGAGGGCGTGGCTCTCCTCGGGCGGATGGAAAGGGGCAGCTGCAAGCGGCGGGTGGGTCTCCGCAGCTTGGAGACTGGAGGCCTGGGCCCCGGGAAGACCAACTTGGGAGGGGCAGCCGCAAGCAGTTGGGGTCCCCACAAGCCGGGCCAAGGGAACTGGTAACAGTTTCCGGCCTTTTCGGTTCAAACACACTCACTGTGAAACCACGGGCCCCAAACCTCCCTGCTGAGGCTTGCCCCTCCCTGCCTGAGGCCGGGAGGCAGGACCTCCTCCCACACCTCAGTCTTGGTACCGTGAAATTCAGAAATAGGCCGTTCCTGGCCCTCAGTTTCCCCATAATGAGGGGATGACAAAGGCCTAGTCTAAACGGTCCGTGCATTTCCCCAGTCCTAACGCCACCACGACTCTACCAAGCTGAGCCACCTGCTAAGAGACCCTAAAACGCCGCAGTGGGGCGGGGATAGGGGCGGGGCTAAGAGGGCGCCAAGCACCCGCAGGCCACGCCCCCTCTTGGGTTCCTCCGGTGACCCTGTGGATCCTCGGTAGTCCGGGAGGATTCATCCCAAGTCCCAGCTCCCAGCCCCAGTGGGCCCCACCCAGAAGGACGCCCCGCCCTCGGCCAGCCTAGCTGGCAGCTGACCTAGTATGGACACAGCACTGGGAAGAAAGGCGTGGAGGCTGACACTAGGGTAAGGGAGAGTCCCAGGCCCCGCCCCCATGGGCCCTCCCCCCCAGCCCAGGACGCACCTGCTGGCAGGGGTAGGAGGGTTAAGAGGGTGATTGTGCAGCTGCTGTAGTGTCCGCCAAAAGCTAAAAATATTTCCCACAGAGTAAGGACGCTCCAGGGAGAATCAGTTTATTGGGGAGTGGGTGAAGTTGGTCAGACCCCATAAATAGGAGAGGACAGGGAGCCCAAGGACAGGAAGAGGGCAGTGTCCTTAGTTACCAGGATGCTGGGACCTAGAGGCTGAGAAAGTGAGGATTCCAGGAAGGGGCCTAAAGACCTAACTCCAGTGGCCCACTCTCAGGGTGACCAGCTGGAGCTGGCCCAAGGGATAGCAAACACTCAAGGGCAGGCTTGGGGTCTGGTCTGGAAGCTCAGATCTTCTCATCAGGGGCTGGCAGACGCTGTCGAGAAGGCTCTACACCCCAGATCTCCCTGGCATACTGGGCAATGGTGCGGTCACTGGAGAACTTGCCCGAGGTGGCTATGTTCCGGATCACCATCCGCGTCCATTCTCTCGGGTTCTATAGGCCAAAGGGGAACTCTGAGTTCACTCCCGTAAGCATGTTCCCCAACTTCTGCCTCATCCCAGCCAGGGCCACCAAAGCCCTGCCAACCCCCGGCCCAGAACCTCTCACCTTGTACAGGGCACTGACTTTCTCCTGGCATTTAATATATTCTTCATAATCTGCAAAGACTTTAAACCTGGAAGGGAAAGGAGAGGCAGCAAGGTCTAAGTCATTCTGCCCCAGTGGATAGCTAGGGACTTGGAGAGTGATGCTGCTTTCAAAAGAACCTGGCCACAGAGCTGGGGATGTGGCTCAAGCGGTAGCACGCTCGATTGGCACGCGGGGCCCTGGGTTCGATCCTCAACACCACATAAAAATACAAAATAAAGATATTGTGTCCACCTAAATAAAACTAAAATATAAATTAAAAAAAAAAAAAAAGAACCTGGCCACAGCTGCTCAGGACCCTGTTCAGCCTCCCCACCCCCACCGAAGCCCTGCCCAGCCCAGCAGCCCAGTTGCATGGTTGCCTGGACAGCCAGCTCACCGGTCATGGTGCATGAGCATGTTGACAATGTCCTTGAATAAGTCAGGTTGTTTGGGAGAGAAGAAGCCGCTACTCAGCTGCTCAATAACCTGCCGGAGCTCAGGAATGCGGTCATAGTACTCCTGGGCATTATACCTGCCAGGACAGAGCTGTGGTCAACTCCCTAGAGTAAGGGCTTCCTGGATCCTCCTCCAGAGAAGATCTGGGAAGGAGCTGGGGTTGTGGCTCAGTGTTAGAGCACTTGCCTAGCATGTGTGAGGCACTGGGTTCGATCCTCAGCACCACATATAAATAAATGAATAAAATAAAGGCATTCTGTCAACTACAAAAAAAAAAAAAAAAAAAAAAAGATCTGGGAAGTCCCAAGCTTCAGTCAAACCCAGGCCCAGCCTGCTGCTGTCCTCCCTGAGCTGCTACACCCCCTCTGGAGGTCCCTTCCCAGCAGTCCCCTCCACTCTGCTCCACTTTTCCTCTCCCACTTTGTGGATGAGGAAACTCAGCCTGGATGGAAAGGTAAGTCTTAGAGCCAAGGGCCCAAACACGGGCTCTTCCACACCACTACTGCTTCCTCCATGAATGGCCTGGGCTGGTGTGCAGCTCCGTGGTAGAGCCCTGGGTTCTATTCCCAGCACCAGGAAAGAAAAAAAGAAAGAAAAAGAAGTAAAGAAAAGGAAAAAAMCCCTGTGAATGTCTTTTATCCGCCACCATCCCAAGCCCATCCCTGGCCTTGTCTTTGAGCTCCAGGTGGCACCAAYAGGTACATCCTCAGGTATGTCCCTTAATTTCTGATAATCCAACCCAGATCACTGCAGGCRTACCAGCTTTCCTCCACTTTCTGAGATGGCAAAACCTATTCTCCAGACTCCCCATTGGACACCCTCCACAAGGCCAGCCTGGCCTCCTTTACTCCCTGCCCTTTCCTCTCGGAAACCAAGGCCTCCTCCACAATGTCTCTGATCCCAAGCCCCTGTGCTGCCCTGCTTTAGGTGACTCTTTGGGCCCCCACACAGTCTCCCCTCCACCCCCTACAGCCCAGTCTCTGCCCTGCAACCAGAACTGTTCTAAAGCCTAGTCCTAAAAATGTGGGACCTTGCTCACAATGTTTCACAGCACCTTCCTGCCGAAAGGACAAAGCCAATTTTTAGTCAAGCCTCACAGGAGAGATTCTTCTTGGCATTGAATGCCAGCTCTCTGAGGCTGTTGGTGGAAGTATAAACTGGAATCAATCTGGCCATCTGTGTCTGAGCCTTAAGAGCTCATAATTTTTGACCAAAAACAAAACAAAACAAAAAAACTCTTCTAGTAATTCTTTTAAGGGAACAGTGATGTAAAAGGTTGTTCATTACAGTAATATTTAGACTAATAGGCAAAATTAACCTTAATATCCAACCATATGAAATGAATTAAATATATAAGCCCGGTGTGGTGGCACACGCCTGTAATCCCAGCTGATGAGGAAGCTGAGGCAGGAGGATGGTGAGCTCAAAGCCAGACAGCAACTTAACAAGGCCCTAAGCCACTCAGTGAGACTCTGTCTCTAAATAAAATATAAAAAAAGGACTGGGGATGTGGCTCAGTGGTTAAGTGCCTCTGAGTTCAATYCCCGGTCCAAATAATAATAATAATAATAATAATAATAATGCATGTCCTTAAGATGGAACACTAGGGGCTGGGGATGTGGCTCAAGCGGTAGCGCGCTCGCCTGACATGCGTGCAGCCCGGGTTCGATCCTCAGCACCACATACCAACAAAGATGTTGTGTCCGCTGAAAACTGAAAAATAAATATTAAAAAATTCTCTCTCTTTCTCTCTCTCTCTCCCTCTCTTTTTAAAAAAAAATTATTTAAAAGATGGAACACTATACAAACATTTTAAAAGATTTTGAAAACTAATGACATGGAAAATGTCTTGCTAAGCCAGGCATGGTGGCACACCTGTCCCAGCAACTCAGGAGGCTGAGGCAGGAGTATCATGAGTTCAAACCCAGCCTCAGCAACTTAGTGAGACCCTACGCAACTCAGTGAGATTGTCTCTAAAAAAAGTACACAAAAGGTCTGGGGGCGCTGGGGTTGTGRCTCAGTGGTAGAGTGCTTGCCTAGCACATCTGAGGTACTGGGTTCCATCCTCAGCACCATATAAAAAAATAAAAAATAAAGTTAGTGTGTTCGTCTACAACTAAAATTAAAAAATAAATTAAAAAAAAAAAAAAGGTCTTCTGGGGATGTAGCTCAGTGGTTAAGCGCCCCAGGTTCAATCCCTGGTACCAAAAAATAAATTAAAAAAAAAAAAAAAAAGGTCTGGGGATGTAGCTCAGTGGTTAAGCGCCCCAGGTTCAATCCCTGGTACCAAAAAAAAAAAAAAAAAAAGTCTCTCTAGCCAGGCATGGTGGCACATGCCTGTAATCCCAGCTATTCAGGAGGCAGCTTCAACAACTTAGTAAGACCTTGTCTTAAAATAACAAATAAAAGAGCTGGAGATGCCCTTTCCTAACAGAAACCAAGGCCTCCTCCACAATGTCTCTGATTCCAGGCCCTGCTTTAGCTGACACTTTGGGCCCCACACAGTCCCCCCCGTAGCATATGTGAAGCCTTCAGTTCAATCCCTAGGACTGCAAAAAATAAGAAAGGAAAGGTCTCTTCAGTATTAAATAAGGTATCAGAGCTTAAAATTCACATACCTTATTCCCAACTTTTGTTAAACATTTTTCTTCTTTGTACCAGAGATTGAACCCAAGGATGCTTAACCACTGAACCACATCCCAAGCCCTTTTTATTTTTTTATTTTGAGGCAGCATCTCACTAGGTTGCATATAGCCTTTCTAAGTTGCTGAGGCTGGCTTCAAACCTGCAATCCTCCTGCCTCAGCCTCCCAAGCCCCTGGGRTTACAGGGATGTGTCAGCATGCGGCCCTTATCCCCAACTTTTAAAAATTATATATACATGTACACATATGTGTGTGTGTGTGTGTGTGTGTGTGTGTGTGTGAGAGAGAGAGAGAGAGAGAGAGAGAGAGTGTATACCTAGAAACACACATAAAGAAGGGAACTGTGGGGGCTGGGGATGTGGCTCAGGCGGTAGCGCACTCGCCTGGCATGTGTGCGGCCAGGGTTCAATCCTCAGCACCACATACAAAGATGTTGTGTCCGCCGAGAACTA